GCCGGCGGCGGCCCCTCCCTCCGCGAAGCAGCCACGCCCGGTGCGGGGGCGGCGGCGGCGCGGGCGGCGTCGGCCAAGCGGTCGCGGCTCGCCCTCGAGGCGGGCGAGGAGGGAGGGGGCGTGGTGTCGCCGCCGCTGTACGCGGCGCGCAGCGCCAAGCAGCCGCGCCGCTCGTCGGCGGAGTACTCCGGTGCGGGCTGGGGCGGGGCGGGCGGTGCCCCCCTCGTGACGAGCAGCGCGAGCTGCCAGGCGGCGCAGCGGATCCTGCGCGCACTGGACGTGCTCGACGCGCCGCCGCCGCGGACGGTGCGAGAGCCTCCGCCGGGCAGGTGCGCGCAGGGTGGGGCGAGTGGAGCGAGCGGCGGGGTAGTGGGGCAAGAGGCGGGGTTGGAGGGCAGGGGGGGAAGGCGGGGCTGGGAGGCGCACTCGCTGAGCCCTCACATCTCCCCGCGCGCAGGGTTGGCCCCTTGGCCATCGGGGCGGCCCCGGCCCCGGCCCCGGCCGACGGCGCCTTGGCGCCTTCCCTCGCCCTCATCGCCGAGCCTCCGCCTCCAAAGTCGTCGCGCGTTGACTCGGTGCTGCCTCGGCTGCCGCCCGCGCCAAAGGCAGGCGCGGCAGCCGAGGCCCGCCCGCCCGCCGCGCCCGCGCCAACGCCTCCCGCGCCCGCCGCGCCGGCGCCGGCGCCCGCCGCCGCACCATCCGCGAGCCTCTTCGGCGGCGTCAAGTTTGGCGCGGAGAAGCCTGCTGCGCCGCCAGCGCCGCCGGCCGGCAAGGGCGAGGGCGAGGGCGCCAGCTCGCAGAAGGCAGCGGCGCCGCCACGCTTCGGGCAGCCACCGTCGGCGGCGGCGGCGCCCAGCATCTTCTCGCCCGCCGCGGAGCCTGCTCCGGCGCCCCACCCACCGGCGACGAGCTCGCTCTTCAAGTTTCCGACCACGCCGGCCGCGCCGAGCGCCGCGCCGAGCGCCGCGCCCAGCGCCGCGCCCAGCTTCCAGTTCGGGACTTCTGCGGCTGCGGCCCCGAGCGCAGCATCTCCGGCGTCGGCCGCGTTTGCTGCGCCCGCGCCCGCGCCCGCCGCGGCG